AATGTCAACGATTCGTTTCAGTTTTGATGTTATATAGTTTTTCAATTGCAAGTATCGAAAAAAAAATGTTTTGGGGGTATTAAATACCTTTTACATAACTGATCGAAAGTAAGCATCCTGACATCAGCATATAGGTCTTTCATTTTCTGAAAACCTTTGGTTTTCCATAGTTTAAATCATCCATCATTTTTCCCTGGAGTGAACTTTTTATTACCCCATATAGGGGTAAATTGTGATATCTCTGGACGGTGACCTGCATGTTTATGTGCTGAATACCAAGTTATAATTGTATTTTTTAAGAAAAGATTCTTTATGTTTTTTTTGTTTTTGTTTTTTGTAGTTTCCTTATATCCAAAGAATATAAAAAGGTGCTTAAGGGGAAATCTGGTGCAGGTTGCTGTTCAATGTCTACCTAAGCTGGAGGTGTCCTCAGATTAAAGTAATGAGTAGCTGATGTTATAATACCATCTGATATGGTGCATTTTTTTGTAAAACACATTTCTTCTTTAGTACAGTTACTCGTGGATGGGGCAGTAGACAAAGAAATATGGAAGAGTAGCAATATGTCATTATCATGTTATTCACCAAATAGTACAACGTTATTCCTAAAATTACAATTTCAACAAAAAGTTGGTCAAGTTCATGTAAATGAGGACATATAATTTGTTACCATATGGCTCTATCTCAGCAAATGTAACTTTGCAAAGTAAGAATAAAATTAGAATAACTTTGTGCGCTAACACTTAGTGTTAGCGCACAAAGTAAGCGTAATATGTACGGCAAACCCAGCTGACTTATTAATAACCTTACAAATGATAATTTTACTGTTTCATTCAGGTGAGCCCGTTTTAACCAAAGCTTTATTTACATTATTCAACAAATGCTGATACTTCAAAAAAAAAAAATTACGAACTTTATGACTTTTTTTAATCAGAAAATACAGTTTTTATATCACAAATCTATAAACTTAATGGTACAAAGTAGCATGAACTTCAAAACAAACAAAGCAGATTACCTGCAGTACTAAAGACCAGCACATGTTGGAGTTAAAAAAAACCTTATATCACAGTTTGAGAAAAAACATACTACAGGATTGTTTTTAAAGAGATTTTGTTCTTTTTTTATACTCTTGGTCAATGACCACCAAGACTGACACTAAAAACTAAAACTAGTTCTTTGTTAGTTATTATCATTATTATGATTTTACTTTTTCTGGACATTTTATTTGTTATACGGCTGATGTTGCATTGATTATATTCCCCTATTTGAATAAAGCAACAAAAAGCCCAATATAAAAACACTTTGCCTTTGATGCCAAGCAGAAGTCCATCCTAGATTGCACAATTATAATCCAGCCTGCTTTCATCAGACTCTGACTCTCAGACGTGAGGGTACAAAAGGGTAAAAACACAATAGTCCCAGTGTGCTTGACTTCCCATAACAGCTGTTTGAATATTTATGAGTAGGATGTCATAAGGTAGCATGTCATGACTTCAATGTAACCAAAAAATCTCTTTCATTGTGATGATTCAGAATCAGAGAAGTTCTTTGAATGGTTTCAAAGACAGAATCAAACTTCCTTCATCTTCTGTCAAATGGACATTTAACCTCCCATTTATGTTTCCCTTATGTTTGCGGATATGCTTTTCTTTTCCAATTGATCTATGTTGGAAGGAAAATATCTGGTACTTATATTTATTGGTTCTAACCCAAAAAAGCGAGGAGAAATTAAAACTGTAAGGTAAATCTATATTTAAATCTTGAGACGCTGAAATACAGTTAGGTGACGTATTAACATAAGAGTTCTGAAAATAATATTGTGTTTATCAGATCAGCAGTTTCAGTGATAAAGAATGAAGACTATTGCTCATACAGACGCCCCCCTCAAATGTTTTATTTGTCCAAATGATTGTTTGCTTCAAATTGCATTAGGTCCCTGATTAAGTACTTAGAAGATTGTGATATCAGAGGTATCACATGTCGTGCACAAAGCCCTGAAAGTGGCCCAGTGTGTGAGCAGACCAGGTGTTACTGCAGCTTTTGTCATGGTGTTGACCTGTAATGACTTTTGCCTGGTCATCTTTGTACCTCCTTCTGTGTGTTTACTTATTTTTCATCTCTTGCATAATGTCACTGTTGTGTGGTTAGTGCATTAGTCACTGCTTACAGATACTAGCTTGCTCAAACAACAATCAACAAAAAAAACATTAAGGCAGGATGAGAAAACATGAATATTAGCCATTATGATCCTTCTGTTGTGGCTCAGAGTTTGTTTCAGCTTGGCATATTTTTGGGAGTTACATTGCAAAAAACTTAAATGTAAATACGTAATTTTTTCTTAAAATAAGTGAAATTTTTCTTGAATTGAGGAGCAAAGTGAGACACTTTGCCAATATAACAAGACAATTTACATTTAAAATAAGAAAAAAAAAATTGCATTGTTTTATTTCAAGTGAATATTATCTAATTATCTTATTTTAAGAGTAAAAATACTCATCCCATTGTCAAATAATCTTATTTCCCTGCTCAAATTACAAGCAAATACACTTAACTTAAGACATTTGACTTATTTCTCGATTGTTTTTGCAGTCTAAATGATAGAAGTATAAAAACCTGCTTTTTGATGAATGTATAATGCATTTATTTAAGCTTTGGAGGAAATTACTTACTAGATATTTTTGAGTACAGCAGATGAACTTATTGTCACAAATAATTCAATATAAAGCAATACATTTTTGTCTTCAAAAAATTTGGTGCCATAAATCAAAATGTTTTTCTCTATTTTTGTTGTAGATCTTACATTGCTTTACTGTAATTTACAGGCTGTGTTGCTGAGATCAAATAGTCTCTGCTGACTTTACTTGTATGTATGTAATGATATTCAGCATAGCACTCAAAAGCAATAAAACAGTTTTTTTTTGCATTTCCACAAATAATTCTAAGTTAATCCTGTAAAGGTTAGCTAAAAAGTAAATTTATAGGAAGAACATGTATGAAAAAAAAATCTGTAACTAAAGAAAAACTTATTTAAGCATCTGATTTCAGACCTGCCATGAGCTTCTGTTCAACATATGAGCTCGAAAAAGATTAGTTTCCCAGAAGGATTTTCCTGATGCTTTACTGGTTTTTGGACTTGAGCTGACGTCACTGATTACAGGGGAGATTGCAAAAGAAAAAAATCCATCTCATTGTACAAAGGTCTCAATCAATGAGTACAACTATGTTACACAACACTTTATATACACACTGTGGTGCAGTGAGGGCTTTCCCCAATACTCTGAGGTATGATAATGAAAATAGGAAACAACCAGAGAATTACAAATCTTAATATTTCTCCAAAACGTATTAATAAACTAGCAACAAAACTAGAGTAGCCTAAAAACATTTACATTAACTACTCCTTCCCAGCAAAAAACAGGAATATTTTTTAAATGAATTTTATGTGGATACTAGGTTAAAACCTTCTTTAGTTACTCTATTTAAAAAAGACATCCTGAGTTATTTTCTCATCTTCTGGCATTAAATTTGACAGTTACCGTTTTGGGTCATTTAGGACCACCAAAGCTATTTTGTATAAATGTATTAATAATAAAAGTGAACATCCTTTGGGCTGTCACTTTCTACTACGGTATGTTTGAATGAAGAACTCATATATTTCCCTATTATTGAGTGCAAGTAGAGTGTACTTACCGTAATAGAGTGCTTAGCAAACTGACCTGGCCTTGGGTAAAGAGGACACCCCCCTCGCCCCATCCACCACCACCAGCGGCAGCCTTGGGGATTGTTTCAGTTCAACCTGGGGTTGAAGGGTTATCAAGGGTACATACTTTATTTGAGTTCATGCCACAGGATCTCAGTTGGATTCAAGTCGATACTTTCACTAAGCCAGCATATAAGATGTATTTTGAACCATTCATAGTTTGAATTACCGGTCCAGTTATGAATTGGTTAGCCAGCCATTTACAGATGGGAAGCACCAAAGCTGCCCCAGATCATTTTGCCTGCTGTGGAGTAAAAAAAAATGTTGAGGTATGACTGTTCTTAGCCTCACAGGCTCCAAACGGAGGTCATGAGAGACAAGAATGAGTTACACAGCCTCCTTCATGGCATGAAGGGGAGGACGGTTGATTTGAGGAGATCCATCTGGCCGGTGAAAGATATATTAACCCAGCACGGAATGACCCTGATGAACTCAAGTAGTTTTGCTTTAATGTTCAAGAGTGAGAAAGTTTTTTATTTAGGGGTAGGGTTTGTTACCCTGGGGGGAATGTGTGTGTTGGGAAATTGTAAGGTATAAATGTATATGCTGAGGATGCAGAGCTCTCCGTCTGAGGGCGTTAAATAAATTTGAACCTTATTTCTTGCAAGAAATGCCTCTGCTTCAGCTTCCGAACTTACACACCACAGCCATGTTTTCGCTAAATAATTTGTTTTATATAATATAGGTGATGTTTTATTTTTTTATTTATTTATTTGGAGTGGATTTACAACTGTAAATTTTTCTCATGACGCCATTTTCATCCTGTTTTTCCTTTGTTGAACCATGAACTCTGACCTTAAGATTTTGTTCTGGGTCTTTTGAAACCTCCTGGATGAGTAATTGGAGAAGGGGTCTAAAGAAAGGTGTTGCTGCAGGTTTTCTTTCCAACCAAACAATAGCACACCAGACTCCAGTCATCTCATCAAATGAGTCCTATCTGAACATGATGACTTAATGACATGAATGGAGTCTGGTGTGCTATTGTTTGGTTGGAAGAAAACCTGCTGCCACACGGCCCTTTCTGGAACCGGTTTGAGACCCCTGAGGAGGGTCTAGAACAGGCATGCCCAAAGTTGCTTCTAAAGGGCCGCTGTCCTGTGGGTTAAGCAAGGAGGGAAACCTCTAAAACCTGCAAGACCTCAGTCTTTGAGGGCAGGACTGTCTACCCTTTGTCTAGGATTTCTCCTTCTTGGAAAAATGTTGCTCAATGTGTTTCAGTTGTCTTAAAGCCAAAGAAGTTTGTTTTTCCAGACTGATGAATATTAATGACTGTGTTTTTACCTGAAAGTTTGGTTTTAATTTGTGCTTTTTTTGGTAATTGTCAACTTCCTGCAGTCAGGTAGGTTCTATTTCATTTATTCAAAATAACAGAGTAAGACTAGAAATGGGTATTTGTGATGAGATCTTACTCACCTCTCCAAAGAATGCACTTTAAAAAGCTAAATTAATTTGGTATAGTGGTTTCATAAATTTTTTTATTTTTTTATTTTTTACCTCTTAATAAAATAAATTATCATTTTAAAACTAGATTTGTGTTCAAGATTGTTACCTTTGTTGTTGAAATGTGTTTTGGGCGATAAAAAGTAAAAACAAAAGAAGCTGGTGGTTAGAATAACACTTTTAGCTTTTTATATCATGCATAGCTTAATTTTAACTTTATGTTGTAGCAGACGTACTTATTTGTTACAATAAAAACTTAGCATATGATTTCACTTTGAAAATGCAAACAAAATTTTCATAACTCATAGCAACAGAAAGGTACACACTTAGGTGCACGTGAGATGAAAGGATGGCTGAAATCACTCATGAAGAGCATTTGTTTGATGGTAAAGCTGCGTCACCAATTCAGGGCGTGTTCCTCACAGCGAGGTCTATATAGTTTTGTGATGCTTGATCCTGAATACACAACACATCCTTGCACCCAATCGTAGCTCTGCTAAGGGGGGACTCTTCTCCGAACATGCAGGCTGAGGAATACAACCGCAGAGGTAATTGCAGATTCTTTTACTCCTCAGAGACAGCTTGACTTGACTAAACTAGACTTTGCACAAAATGAAAAAACAAACAGATTTAAACAAATAGGCATCAATATGACCATGATCTATTCAATGCGCAGGTAAGGAGCTGGTGGACTATATCACCAAGTACCTGAGCTCCATCAGGGAGAGGAGGGTCATCCCTGATGTGAAGCCAGGCTACATGAGAGAGCTGCTTCCTGAAGCTGCGCCAACTGAACCGGAGGACTGGGAGAGCATCTTCAATGACATTGAAAAAGTCATCATGCCTGGGGTAAAATATTGCCACCCCACCCCACTCCTGCATTCTATCGGCAAACAAAAAAAAAAGTATATTTAATAAAGTTCAGCCATTCGACTATTTCCATCTGCTCTTATCCAGGTGGTTCATTGGCAAAGCCCTCATATGCACGCCTACTACCCCAGTCTGACTTCGTGGCCCTCCATGTTAGGGGACATGTTGGCTGATGCCATCAACTGCGTAGGATTCACATGGGTAAGTCTGCAAAACACTGTAGAAGACTAAAAGTGTTAATTTTATAACTCACATTTCTGTTTTTTCTGGAAACACAGGCCTCCAGCCCAGCCTGCACAGAGCTAGAAATGAATGTGATGGACTGGTTGTGTAAAGCGCTGGGGCTTCCCTTGTTTTTTCTTCATTATCACCCTGACAGCAGAGGTGGAGGCCTGCTGCAGGTTTGCAACAGCATTTTCTGTTTTTAACCCTCTGCTTTAGCCTGAAGCTGATTACCTTTCCCTTTAATCTAACAACACTTAGAGCACAGTAAGTGAGGGGACTCTAGTTGCTCTCCTGGCTGCCAGGAAAGACAAAATACTGCAGCTGAAGGCTGAGCTGGACCAGGAAGTGGACGACTCGGTTCTCAACTCCACACTGGTGGCATACGCTTCAGATCAGGTCAGTGTCCCTGGCTCTCCATTACAAACTGTCCCGTCAAACAACTGAGACAAGCCAGGGTTTGATTTGCTCTTACAGGCCCATTCGTCTGTGGAGAAGGCAGGTCTGATCGCTCTGGTGAAGATTAGGTTTCTTCCAGCTGATGAGAAGCTGTCTCTGAGGGGAGACACTCTGAAGCAAGCCATTCAAGAGGACCGGAGGAGGGGCCTTGTTCCATTCATGGTAGCCATGTTTGAAATGTTTTGTGTAGAGGAAAATCAATGATGTATTATGTTTTTGCACTTATTGTGTGCCTTAAGCTATTCTTATCATAAGTTATTCAATTCAAGGGTTATAGTTATAGTTTTATAGCCATTTAGCTTTTAGTAAAATAAATATATATAAATAAATAATATTTTTTTAATATTCTTAGGATCTTCATATGAATTTTTGTACATTAAATTTATGTGATTGCTTTAAAATGTGAAACCAACAACCAGCAAATAACAAAAACTTATTATTGCCACAATGTATTTTATTGTTACATGACATATAACCACATCTGTTTGAGAAAAGCAACATATTGCAGACTGTTAGTGCGTTAAAGCAGCCAGGAAATCTAAAAAGCTCCACTTTAAAAGTTTACTTTTCTGATAGAAAATGAGATAATTAAAAACTAGAGAGCCTTCTAAAGTTAAACATCTACAAGACCAAATATGGGGTCCATTGATTGAGGCTTCACATTAATCCAGTAGACACACACACACACACACATATATATGTATATACCACTGTTAAGAGGACACCTATGAAACCTGAACATTGTTTATATTTTACTGATAATTCATTAAGTTTCTGTTAAGTCTTTTAGGTGAATCAAGAAGTTTTGCTTTCACAGTTCTTGTCAGGAATTTGGGAAGGCTAATCTTTTAAAGCAAGAGAACAAGCAGCAACAATCCTTCCAGGGAGAAATCATCAGCAAGGAATAATTAGTTTTACTTATTTATTTTGATCTGAAATGTTTATTATACAAAAAACTGACATACAGACACAAATAGTTTTACAGAAATAAGGATAAAGAACCAGGATTTAAGAGATTCAGAAAGCAGCAATGTAATGGTACCAATGAGGTAAATTCATTGCACTGAACGACCACATGACAGCTGTGGTTTGGTTCTCTCCTGTTCAGCTGTGTTCGACTCTAGGAACGACAGGAGTGTGTGCATTTGACAAGCTCTCTGAACTGGGACCAATCTGTAAGTCTCCAAACTTTTACTTCTATACATTTGTTCCTCCAGATAAGTTATTTATAAAACAGAATTTCTCAAAATGTTGTTTGTAAATTGTGTGCACTAGCAGGAATAAAATCCTTTATATTACAGGTAAAGAAGAGGGACTCTGGCTTCATGTTGATGCTGCGTATGCTGGCTCCGCCTACTTTTGTCCAGAATTACGCTGGTCTCTAAACGGCATTGAGTTTGCACAGTCTTTTGTTTTTAACCCCTCAAAGTGGATGATGGTTCACTTTGACTGCACAGCTTTCTGGTGGGTCATGGCATTATTTCACCTCACAGAATCAAAAAACATAAATCTGTTCTAAAAAATTATTTAAATGTTTGTATAAAGGTTCTCTGATAAAGATTAATTAAAGATAACTGATTTTTAGGGTAAAGGATAAATATAAGCTCCAGCAGACCTTCAGTGTTGATCCTGTTTACCTCAGACATGAAAACTCACGGGCAGCCACAGACTTTATGGTACAGGACTCATCCATTCAATAAAAAAAATAAAATAAAAAAAAGCTTATTTACATAATCAAAAGTTCAAAAACTTCTTCACCCAGTAACATCTCTTTATCCCCCGATGCCCAGCACTGGCAAATTCCTCTCAGCCGACGTTTTCGATCTCTGAAGCTTTGGTTCGTCATGCGTTCCTTCGGGCTGAAAAAGCTCCAAGCTCATATCAGACATGCAAGTGAATTTACCTCTTCGACTGTCAATTTCTATATCAAATTAAATATTTTAAAGTAGCAACCTAACAAAGTTTTAAGAGTATCTTTTTTTTTCTGTTTTAGGGAATTAAGATGGCGAAGCTCTTGGAGTCTAAAATAAGGAGCAACCCAAACTTTGAGGTTCCTGCTGAGACACATCTTGGCCTGGTGGTTTTCTGTCTGAAAGTAGGCAACACAACTTTTAACCATAAATATATCTTAAGCTATGTTTTACGCTTTGCATGGAGTAACATATCCAATGTTAATTTTTGCTGAGATTTACAAAATAAATGTCACAATCTCACATATATCGGTTAACAAGAAAAGGGCTGAAACTAGTTTAAAGTCAATTAAAAAAGATTTAGCTCTTCTGCTACTTCTGATAATTGGAACTATTCCAGGCAGGAAACATTGTGACTCAGGAGCTGCTGAGGAGACTGACCCGTTCCGGCACCATGTACCTCATCCCTGCAGAAATCCACACAAAACGCATCATTCGATTCACAGTGACTTCCCAGTTCACCACAGAGGATGACATTGTAAAGGACTGGGCCTTTATTTCTAAAACTGCTAGTGCTCTTCTTGCTGAGAAGGAAAGTTTTAATAACGCTGAACAGCTCGGATCAGATGAGGAAAAGGCAACAGCAAAGGAAGATGGCATAGAGCCTCATTTGGATGTCATGGCTGATGAAAAAGAAGACATGGTCACCCAGCTGGAAAAAGCTAACGTAGACCTGTGGATTGACAAAGCCTGGAATCGACCTAGGCGACCGATGCGCTCTCTTAGCTGCAACAGTGAACCACTGCCTTACTGGGCGCTGTTTAGCTTTGATTGTGAATCATTGCCTTGTCTTAAAGACGGATCAGACGGCCTCCCTCCGCCATCACCGACAGATTCTATGATTAAAGAGGTGCCTTCAAATCTTCCGGGGAAGCAGGTCCTGAAAAAGCTTACAAAGTTTTACAGTGTTCCCAGTTTCTGCAACCAATGGGCCCAGTGCAGCCGGCACCAGCTGACCTGCCCTCTGAAGGTCTCACACAGTGGTCAGAAGCTTTTATCCTCCACCTGCAGGAGAATTAACTGCACACACTCATCCCCTGCTACAAACACAGCATCTTCCACCTCTCCACTGGAAAGTCCCAGGTGTCTTAAAAACTCTCAAATCGATGAACAATAATTTAAAGTTGACTTAAAGTCGCATATGTCAACAAAATAGCTTTTTTTTTCTTTTAATAATCATCAACCATAAAAGCTACTAATTTTTCATTGTTTTTGTTTCATCATGGCTTTCCTCTGTACTTATGGATGGAGCCTTTACTGCTTTTAAATGAGAAAGGTTTTTATAGAAAGTACCTCTAGCTCATTTGTTTAGTGTTTAGCCTTTTCTTTTAATTTACACTAGCTAGGATAAAGCTTTTGCTGCTTTGTGTACTTTTTGTTCCACAGAAAGCATTTTCATTGATTTTGTGTCCAGCTGTGTGTCTTATTGGAAAAGAGTTAGTTAGTGAGCTACTGTTTCCATTACCTATGTCTTCATTTTTTATTTTCTTTTATGGACAATTTTCATTCAAAAATGACCTCCTGGTTCAGCAAGTCGCCATAGAAAGATGCTCATATCGTGTCTGGTTCTGTTGAATGTATCTTTAACTGTTTGGTCCTAATAATTGCTTTGAGATGGAACTGTTGTAAATTGGTGAAATAAATAAAACTACAACAATAATAACACAGGAAGTCATTTTATCCAAGAAATGTTAATACGTTTAAATGATAAAAAAGATACCTATGAAATATTCCCCTATGACATATTTCCTTTCATCGTGTGCATTTTGTAAACACGCTCAATGTACAAGTCATTGCATCTGGATTACTCTGCATCCTTTATTACTAAAAGTGTAAAAAAATTAGATACATTGATTAGTAACGTAATCAAACTTCTTCAGAGCTTAATTTTTCCCACTGTGATGGCAGTGAATATCTCTGGAGTCATAGGTACGTAGCCTTTTCCATCCTCCAGGAAAAACAAAGGGTCCATGATGATTTCAGGGTTGAAACTCTCATTAGTCAGCTTCACCTTCAGCTGCTTATATGTTCCATTCACTTCCACAGCATCCTGTGCCAGAAAGCAGCAGTTTCCTTGTTATTCGGAAAAAATGTTGTTGGATTTTTCTAATATTTTGCTTTCTTTTAACATTAACTTACCTGAATGCGTATGAACCGTGGTCTTGCATAGCTGGGCAGGTAGTTTTTGACATGTTGATACATAGCTTCACAATCAAAGTCCATATTTTCTTTAAGCTTCAGTGCCGCCATTCCAATCCTTCCTTCATGCCCTAATCAGCCACAGTCAACATAAAAAGACAACTCATTTAAATAAATACATAATTGCTCAATTATTTTTCCTAAATATTAACAATGTTTAAAAAATATATTTTTTCAAATAGTTTTTCTGAGTTGCATGTCCACAATAATAAATAACTAATGGACATGTAGAAATTCTTCGAAATAGATCAGATTTCATAAGATGACCTATTTTGGTCGGAAAATCAATCTTTGCAAATAAAATGGTTAATTTCTATTTACAAAGCTCTAAAAACGTCTCACTGCCGAAACGATTACCTGGTACCCTCACACCGTAAACATTAGCCTCGTCAACGAAATCCATGGCCAGTAAATGATCAGCCACCTCTGTGGTTGCCACATTTTCTCCTTTCCACCTGTCCAAGATAAAAAGAAACAGTCAGAGCAGATGAAGAAAACAGATTACATTTATTTCTAAAATAGCAGAACTTGGTAGGTTAGATAAAAAATTTGTAACATGCCATATTATCAGTATACTTGGAAATCATACACTTTAAACAATGATGGACAACTCCAGTCCTGGAGTCTAGGGATCCTAACACTTTTAGAGGTGTCCCTGTCCCAACACACCTGAATCAAATAATTAGAAAATCTCTGGAGAACCAGCATACTAAGGACTCTTTTCTGCCATTTGATTCAGATGTGCCTGACCAAAAACACAGCTTAAAGTTGCAGGACACAAGCTTTAAAGCTGTCATTCCCTGACTTATAGCTCTGTAGGTTTAGGCTTGGTTCTGATACGGATATTATTTAACCTGTATACCAATTTGCATCACTTTCACATTAGATTATTTTGTGGTATAAATGCCTTGAGAGTTAAAACAAAATGGCAGAAAAATGATATTATTTATGATGATCTTGTAAACACCTTGTAGGAGTTTCATTGTCGTCATTTCCTATAAGCATCTTTAAAAAGGGGATAGGTGGCCTCGTGGTTAGAGCAGAGCGCGTGTGCTCTGAGAAGGGAGCAAGAACCCAGTTTGATCCCCACAGACTGGACTCCGGGTGCCTCAACAAGACCCTTAACCCCTGATTTCTCCCCAGGCGCTGCACAGTTCCAGCCCACTGCTCCCCAAGGGGATAAAATGCAGAAGTGAATTTCTCCATTGTGAGATCAATGATGTTCAATTATCATTTTTAAAAGGCCAGACAGAATAACTTGGTCCAGCAAAGAAAATACCCACAGACTATATTCTATGACTTATTAAATTATACTTCCAATTTACAGTATTCCTCTATGTATCCCAAGAAGGAATCAGAATTTTTCCTCAGTCAAACAAACTCTGCCTATAGTTGAAATTTTCTGATTGACTTTCTCTTCCTCACACAAAATGTCAGACAGTATTCAGACAAGAAACTATGCACCAAACTCATCAAATAGCCATATAGTGGAAGTATTTGATCACTGATTAAAAACGTTTTTTTTACATTTTCCAAAACAGCTTTTGCCCACTGCTTTATACAACAAAATTGCGGTGAAATCTTTAAATCATGTCACTGACTCCACATCACACTGATAACACCAAACCAAAATTCAGCATATTTGCATACACATATCTAATCCTCTGAACTTCCATATCAATGCGTTTTTTTGCACCATATTTTTTTTCTTCCACACTGTTTACATTTGATCACTGCTGCACTTTAAGGAATGGAAACCTTCTGAAAGCTGTACAGAACAAAATTTCATTTTGTATACACTTCTGTGAATAAAAAATGACAATAAAAGTTGTCTAAGTCTAAGTCAGATTTTCTGGATCCACTGACAGCCATATCTTAACCCATTGAAGTGTCTGACGATTAGTTGTTAATCTTTGGTTCCTCTGTATAATGCAAAGCTGTGCAGAATCAAAGTACAAAAGAAAAACAGAAACATTTATAAATATATTAAGATGGAGTGATGCAACTTTAAAGATCCCCAAACCATTCATGTATTCTATGAAGATGACCACACACATTAAAGAGCTCTATAATGCAAACAGGAGATTAGTGACATGGTTAACTGAAAAGCATCTGCAAGGGACTGCATATTTTTGAAGGATTTGCTTTTTTGCTGCTTTTATATTGACTAGAATTCAGCACAACTAAGGGTTTTATTTGTTTTCTTTCATGCAAAAATGGATAAGGAATATAAATAGCAACGTTAGAGAACCCAAATCAAAAGGATCCAGAATGTCACTTTAAGAAAATCCTAAATTGAAAATCATGAACATGCATGATACTTTAGGCCAAACACTAGAATCTACTTATACAGGTTTATTCCATCACTATATAGAGGCTAACTGGTCTTGATGGCTGGCTTAATTGCTCATTTCATTCACCTGTCTAGCTCTGCCCAGTTCCCCATCACTCATCAGATTCATCTGTTCCTTCTATCTATTTAAAAAGCCTGTTTCCAGTCATTGGTGCCAGATTATTCTTGAGTGTTTGGTGTTCAGAGTTCTCCAGCTTTACCATAGTGTTCTGATTGTCTGATCCTGATTCGTTTCTGTATTTTGATCTTTGAGCCTGCCTGCCCCTGTCTGATTAGTTTGCCTGACCTTCTTCAAACTCCTGTTGGATTCTTCTGAGGACTGAACCCAGATCTACCTCTTGACTTTGCACTTTGGATTATCCAACCTTCCTGCGTCAGCTCGAAAATGGTCTTCTGTCTGCAGCCTTCTACACTTTTCCGTCTGGAACTCTCTGGCAGCATCCCTGCGTTTGTACAGTTCGACCAGCTGAAATCATCCTCGTTCTCTGGACACGGACTAAACTGTCAAACCAGGTTAGTGACTCGCGCGTTCATAATTATCCTCAGATTTTATTGTCATTACTAACCTATGTTTCTCTGTAATAGAAGACCCTGCTTCTGACGCCCCAGCCACTGCAGAATCTATGTCTTGTTTTAATAAACACTTTTTAAGTAATCCACTATTCGTCTTGCCTGAATTCTGGGGACTACCTTCTGAGTTTTTACATAAATGTGTGACACCTTGTTGGATTTCTCCAGTTTTTGCCATCTACTGACCTAAAAGTGTCTCCAATGCGGTCCTGAAAGTAGATAAATCCCTCGTGGTCTATCCTTAAGAGGTCACCGCTGTTAAAGTAGAGGTCTCCTCGCTCGAAGACGTCTCTCAGTTTCTTCTTCTCTGTTTGCTGTTTGTTCTTGGCATAGCCATAAAAGGGTGTTCTCTCTTTAATCTTCGCCACCAGCAAACCAGTTTCCCCTTCAAATTAGAGAGACAAACTTCAGCTTTGAAAGAGAAGAAATATTACTTTAAATTTCAATGTGAATGACTAACCTTTAGGGACTTCAATACAGAATCCTTTGGAGTTTCTGACTGGCTCTTCTTTTTCTGTGTCATACCTTATAAGGGCATATGGACATGATAGCTGAAAATAAATTGGAGATTGAGATTAATGTAAAGAAATGAGTGATTTCAGAGCATTATGAATGTAAACTCCAAAAATTGCAAATTACTATGCTAATTATGATTCTCTTACTTTGTAGAGAAAATGTTCTCTGCCGATGGCTCCAGCTTTTCCAACATAATTAAAGAAACCAATATTTGATTCCGTTGCCCCGTAGCATTCTAAGATACCAATGTTCCCGAATCGCTCCTGGAAATCAGCCCAGGTGTCTGGCCTTATCCCGTTTCCAATAGCCAGCCTCACTTTATGATCCTTGTCATTGTCTTTCTAAGCAGAAGGTGAAGAAGAGATTACACAAGCATAAAAAACATTTATGAGCCATGTATTACTCTAAGGCAAGAGCATTGTTATATATAGACATTTAAGAGGCTAACAAAACTGATCCCCATTCAGCTTTAGCATGTCCTATGAACAAATCAAGAACCAAATCCAAACAAACATAAAAAAGAATCTGAATTCTAAAAACATCTGTCTTTGTTTTTTTTTACTTTTATTTTTCTACATATAGTTCATACTCTTTAGATTATTATTATTTTTTTTTTTTAAGTAATTTAAGAAACCAGTCATTAGTTGAAAACTCACAAATGAAAAGTTTTTACAGCATAGCTAAGCTTAACAGCCCCTTTGCTTCTTCAGTTTAGAGATTTTTGCATTAATGAAATATTAAAGTTACAACTGTTTTTTTCTAATCTTGCTGTAAATCTAAATGTTTAAAAATATTTAAGATGAAATCAGTTTCTATTGGCATATTTTGACACATTAATAATATTCTTCCAAAAGGTAACACTTCTGTTAATTCAATGGATATTATAATGCCATCCTTTCGCCAATCAGCCCTTACGCACTCTGACCAAAACGGGTAGATGTCATAATCAGCATAACTTACGTTTTTTTTTTTTTTTTGGTGCAATTTTTTTAGTGTGTGTGTTTTGTTTTTTTTATCCTGTCAGATTCAAATGAGTAAATTCATTAGCTATTCCAGCCCTTGTGACCCAGATGAACTGCATCAACTCAATCACATTCACCTTGTTCACATTTTGCTGATCACATCACCATCGATCATGAGTTGGCTTATAATTTTGTAACTCCTTGTCCAGTTACTTACTTTACCTTCTAAGCCAATTTACTCATCTTATTGTGCTTTAACCATTTCCTAATGCTCATCAGTTCCTTTCATATCTTTCCATTGTTTTTGTGATTTCCTTCCATTGTTAGACTCTTGTTCAACTGTCTCCGCTTGGATCCAAATCAACCACTATGTAAGACTACAGCATGACCAAATGTCTGGACATCACTCCTTGGCTTCAATGCCTTCCCTTGCAATAGACTTAATTAGCCTTTAGCAGTAAAATACAAAAAATACAATGCTAAGAACCATAACCTTTAATAGTGGGGTGCAGCAGGGATGTGTACTCAGTCCCTTTCTTGTCTTAAAGAAAAGGGCTACTAATTTATTTAATATCAATACTACTGATGATAATCATATCTAAAATAATATCTGAACATTTTAAGAGAACCTTCAAGGTGCTGCGGATGTGAGAAAGTAATCAATAAATCTAATATCTAAGTACTAAACCTATTAACTGTCGACACGCACTGCAGCATTACTGCCTTAAAGTATTTGCAAGAACTGGCAATGAGTCTTAGACACTGCTGTGGGTGAATCTTTTGCCAACCCTTCTTTGCAGAGTTGTTTTAATTCAACCATGTTTATGGTCCTGCTGGAGTCACAATTATGTTTTAATGCAGGCCTTGTCT